GCATGATGTACGTACTTACTGTACATTGGTCATTTCGTCATAACGCTATTGAGGAGATGAAATGACTATTTCGTGTTGGACAGATAATTAAGCACGTGGACAGCAATACGGTATGATTTCGTTCAGGATGTCGGGGTAAGTACTTACGAGTATTTTTAGAAATTCGTCAATGTTATTGGAGGAAAAGCCTGATAATTTTATGAATAACCTACTGTGGTTGGCCGGAATCTTGACTAAACAAAGTCGTGACTAGTTGTCCACAGCTGCGAGGGGCCTTCTTATAATAATGTGTGTCCATTTTACGAGAGAATTGTCTCAGATCTTCACCTATTTTTATTCACACGTATAACGAAAACCGCGTTTATTAGCCTGGGTCTGGATTCCACGAAAAATGGCATAAAATCGCCGTTTTCCAAGAAAAACTTAATCGAAATATTCCATTTTTCGAAATTTTGTGCGTCTGGATGCCACCGGTGTTTTATGGCATAAAAAAAATGGACCGATTTGGTCCAACGTTTTTATGGAGGTTTGCGTTCACGTTGAAGTTTTGCACTTCAATCGGAAATCGAATAATTTTCTCATAATTCCACTGGCATCCAGAAAATTTTGTTGATACTTCTGTTCTCCTTTTTCTCATGGGATATGAGACTTTGGGAAAATTTTGCAGACTACTTGCCAAAACGGTTTATGGCATAATTTTATGGGGTGGCCATCCAGACCAGCCCTTAGATATGGGATTATATAATGAAATACGGTGTCAAATGACTCATATTGACAAATTGTATTGTCGTTTTAGCGAGAATATCAATATTGAGGATGGATTGAACCGCTCACTTTGTAACTAGCTAGGCCTGTAAGCTACAATGATCATATTGATTGTTTGTTGCTAGCGTTTATACAGAAAAGATTATTTCCGAAGGCCCCGCCACAGGTGTCGATCACTGTGAATTGCAAAATGGTTTTCTACGCGTTTATTGCTACAATTTCTACTACGTTGCCGTGGCTGCTTCTATGCTGCTCAAGTGATCTCTCCTTAAATTGCCCAGCACATTGCGAGTTGTAAATCACATGGATAGAGCAAACACGCCATCATCACCTTTGAGCCACCCACGTCCGCAACATGTCTCCACCTGGCAATGCCTTCCATTTTTCACTTAATGTGATCCGCTTTCCGAACCAAGCCTTCATTTTCCAGGCCCGAAAGCCCGGCGTCTGCCCAGCCAAGCCCACCTTATACTCCGGAGTAGCCCCCTAAGCTCGATGGTCGGCATGTCGCTTCACATCGTGTCTCGTCTATTCTCCGTCGCTCGTCTACCCAATCAACGCGTGCTGCAACGTTGCGTTTACTCCGGAGTATCAACGTCAACGTTTGAGGATGTCCACCGGTGAGACAGATAGCATTTAAAGTATCCGGTACAATTTTGGATAAATGTTCCTTATCCGGGAAATTTGGCATCCACATTAACTGTGTCGCAAGATTCTTCAAATGATCAAATATATGTAAGGGTATAAAAGTACTAACTGTAAATTCCTGGATAATATATGAATTATCCGCAACTTCGAATAGTAAGTATGGTGCACGTCAAATTCGATACTATTAATAGTAAGAGGTTTTACATTAATTGTAAGTTAAACCTAAAATATGTCCAAGTTAAACCTCCACATTGTGCGTTTTATTTCTGCCCAGGTATGCAAGTTTCATACTAACATCAAGGTAACCTTCGTGGCCAAAATTACTTGCCCTAAATTGGCCGTATACAATTCCTCCCAAATTTGATTTTGAGACGTAACATCTATTCACATCGACGAGATCTGTCGAAACTTTGTCTCGTTTTACTCCAATTTTGAGAAATGAATATGAAATAGCTAGCATCCACGGAGTTGACTTCAGCGTGCTTAATTATCTGTCCAAC